TGCCTGTAAAGGTTTGTATGAAGATCGTGTACGTGTAGTATTATTGGGATTCAAATGGGTTTTTTCTCCGAAAACGAAATGGGAACAATGAGGTGATGAGATATAAAGCAAGGCTCATAGCACAACATTCACGCAGAAACCCGACATTGATTTCACTAAAACATATTCTCCAGTAATGAGTGGTACCACTTTCCGATATCGTATATCCTTGCCAGTGCAAAATCGTCTATCTATGCAGTTGATGGACGTCGTGACCGCATATCTTTACGGGTCACTAGATTCGGACATATATATGAAGGTTCCTGGCGAAATCTCTGTCCCGAATAAAAGTACAAAACGCAACATGTATTGTGTAAAGCTGAATAAGTCATTGTATGACTTAAGGTAGTCGGGAAGGATGTGGACAACCGACTCAGTGAGTTCCTTCTTCAGAAAGGTTACTCCAATAGTAGTGATTGCCCATGTGTGTTCATCAAGAAGTCCTATACATGATTTTGCATCATTTCTGTGTATGTTAATGATCTCAACATCATTGGCAACACACCAAACATTGATGAAGCACGCAATCACCTAAAGATGAAATTTGAGATGAAGGATTTGGGTAAAACTAAATTTTTCTTAGGTATTCAACTTGAGCACCTTCCCTCGGGTATCATGGTACACCAAGCTACCTATATCCAGAAAATATTGGAGAAATTCAACATGGACAAATCCTTCCCATCTAAAACTCCCATGATGGTTCATTCTCTAGACGTAGAGAAAGATCCAATCGGGCCAAGGGATGATGGAGAAGAGGTGTCGGGACCTGAAGTTCCATACCTCAGTGCCGTTGGAGCACTTATGTATCCTGCAAAATGCACGAGGCCTGATATTGCATTTTTAGTGAATCATAGCATAACTCCCATCAAACGTCATTGGACTAGAGTGAAGAATATCTTTTGATATCTTCAAGGCACAAAGGGCCTATTTTTCCAGTTCCACAGAAGTCAGGAGTTTGATATGATTGGATACACAGATGCAGGCTATTTATCTGATCCCATAATGCCAGATCACAGACCGGCTTTGTGTTCCTACATGGTGGCCCTGAAATATCATGGAAGTCTTCAAAATAGACCCTGGTGGCAAAATCTACCAATCGTTCTAAAATAATTTCTTTATTTGAAGCAACATGTGAATGTGTATGGCTTCGCAAAATGATAAACCACATACAACAGTCATGTGGAATTGGTTCGATAGAATCACCTACCATTATCTATGAAGATAATGTGGCATGTGTTGCACAAATGCGAAGTGGATACATCAGGAGTAATATCACTAAGCATATTTCTCCTAAGTGTTTTTTCTTCATGATCTTCAGCAAAGCGGGGAACTAAACATCTTGCAAGTTAAAATCGTGCAAAAATCTTGCTGATTTGTTTATCAAGTCTCTATCAAATTCTACATTCCAGAAATATATTCATGAAATTGGTATGCGACGATTTCGGGACTTGCAAGTATCAGAGGGAGTCTCTTCTTGAGATATCCTAGCTCAAACATCACATTACACTGTTTCTCTTTGTGAGTTTATGTTTCAAATTCTCATCAAAAAAAATAATGAGGAACTTTTGGACAAGAATCATTTGGGATAATAGAGCTACCAGGGCAATCCCAAAATGATTCTACGTGATCAAGCATAGATTAAGGAGAATGTTAAGATTAATTGTTATTAGGGATGCCCAGTCGTCAGGCTCACTGCACTGCAGCCATCCGAGGCAGGGGTTTGCTCACTTCAATGGAGTTGGGTACGAGCCGCCGCCGGCGTTCCTCCAAGCCAGGCCCTGCCGGCGGAGCGGACTACCTCAGCGCCCTCCCGGACGATCTTCTCCTCCTGGTCCTCACCCGCCTCGGCTGTGCCGCCGCCGCCGCGCGCGCCGGCCTCCTCTCCCGCCAGTGGCGGGGTCTCTGGGCCCACCTCCGCGACCTCGCCTTCCGGGGCATCGCCTTCCCGTCGCTCCAGGCCACGCTCGGCCGCGTAGCCCGCCCCCCTCCGACGGTCTCCCTCCTCGAGATCCGCGTCTCCGAAGAACACCTGCCCATCTCCGGCGCCGGCGCCGTCACATCGGTGCTGTGTGCCGCCGCACGGCTCGCGCCGGAGAAGTTCATCTTCGCCCTCCCGTGGGACCCAGATCCGACTTCCACAGAGGTCGACCTGCCGTGCTTGTTGGAAATATGAGCAAATTATTATGAGATTTAATCCGAATAAACAGAAGATAAATCATGACCACAGCAGCAGAGATTAAACTAATCATGCGAACTAGCATAACAGATGAACATATCACATCTAGGGCACATACTAGAAGCATGAATTCTACCACGATCTCGAACAAGAAGGGTAGAATCACATACGGTGCAGCGGGTGCAGCACCGCCGGCGTTGACGTTGTCGCCCATGTCGTCGAGGACGAGGTTGCCGAGGTCGGGGAAGAAGTCGTCGTTCGCGAAGTCGTCGCTGCCAGCAGTCGCGCGAGTGCGCTCCCCAAAAACCTGATCGCCCCTCTCCCGTACAGGATCACGAGAGGCGGGGTTCCGGAGGCCTGCTGTCCCTTCTCGCGGTGCTAGGCGGAAGAAGGAATGGAGAAGACTTGCTTGGCGGTGCAATGATCTGGAACGGTGGTGAGAAACCATACGAAGCGGCGGCGGCTAGGGTAGACGTCTGCCTGACTATATAGTGCGGGCCGGGTAGGTCGTGGGAGTAAACCCCACGTCCGAGTCGTCACGATCCAAAAGAATCGGAAACGGTTCAGTAATTAACGCGTCCGTTAATTATTAATTAATGACTCATTAATTTTCCCATACAACAAAAATATAGACAACGTGCATAGCTCTGTCCTCGGCTCAATCCCGCAACCCGCGGCACGTCGTGGCGTGGCGAGGCGAGGCGAGGCGAGGCGTGGCGAGGCGAGCGAGGAGGAGGAGCGCGCGTCTAGGTCTCCTCTTCTCATGCTCATACAAGTAGTAGAAGAGCTCACCTTATAAAGAGGTGCAACTCTCTCTCAACTTCCGGGGTGGGACTAAACTTTAGCCTCACTCACTCCACTCACATGTGTGCATGAATGGGCCAAGGGAATTTCAGAATTTTAGTTGGGCTTTGGGCCAACGGCCTACTAGCAAAATTCTAACAATCCCCCACAAAGTCTCATTGGCACATCTCATCATTTAGTTCCAAAACTTTGTTTTATATATCGGTGCTTAGTGAAGACTGTGAAGTTGAACTTCCACTTAGAAATTTATGCTACACTAGATCACAACTTGAATAGTGGACTATGCCTTGAACTACAAGTTTTCTGTGAAACTAGTTTCACACAAATTCTTGACCGATACTGGGCTCCCGCAAGGCTTCCCCGCGGGTGGAGCGTATACGTCATACTCCAGGGCCTTTCATGAATTTATTAGAGAACACCCAATTCTCACAGACTGCGACGTTAACAGTCAAATTTATATAGGTGTGTTCCTCAGAAGATGTTCTGCAGGACAACATCTCTGCTTACCCGAATAAGCCACTTGGAACACATTAAGATAAGTATCAACCTGCCATGCAGATCAGGAGAGTATTGCATCTTCATGGAGTGGGATAATTAATATAGGGATACTCTCCTCCTAGCTGACCAACAGCTTGTCTCCCACTTCTACTTCACGGGATCTCTGATCACATAGAGTGGGTTACCACTATGGACAACTCATGCGGTGGGTCTCAAACCCATCTCCATCGATGCATTATCTATCACATTACGTGATAGACCCTTTGTGAAGGGATCCGCCAAGTTTTTCGACGTTTGGATATAATCCAACGTAATAACTCCGGAGTTTCTCGGTTTTCTGACAGATTTTAGTCTCCTCTTCACATGCCTTGAGGACTTCATATTGTCCTTAGAACAGTTTATCTTGACGATCATAGTTTGATTATCACAGTTCATCAGGATAGGGGGTATTGGTTTTTCAACCATAGGTAAGTCCATCAAGAGTTCACGAAGCCACTCTGCTTCAACAGTGGCAGTGTCTAATGCTGTGAGTTCTGCTTCCATAGTTGACCTCGTTAAGATGGTCTGCTTGCAAGACTTCCAGGAAACAACGCCACCACCAAGTGTAAAAACATAACCACTTGTGGCCTTAATCTCATCAGCATCAGATATCCAGTTTGATTCACTATAACCCTCCAGTACCCTTGGATACCCGGTGTAGTGAATCCCATAGCTCGCGGTGCCTTTCAAATAGCGCATAACTCTCTCAAGCGCATGCCAATGATCATCTCCCGGTTTTGACACAAACCGACTCAGCTTGCTCACAGCAAAAGAGATGTCAGGCCTCGTGGCACTCGCCAAATACATAAGCGAGCCAATAATCTGAGAATACCTCAGTTGATCTCTAGCAATCCGTCGATTCTTTCGAACCAACACACTAGCATCATATGGAGTTAGAGAAGGCGTGCAGTCGCTATACCCAAAACGACTCAAGACCTTTTCCATATAATGAGACTGAAGCAGTGTGATCCCACCATTCTCATCTCTCAACAGCTTGATGTTTAAGATAACATCAGCTACTCCTAGATCCTTCATCTCAAAATAGCGAGATAAGAAATCCTTAACCTCCTTGATTAAATCAATTTTGTTTCCAAAGATCAATATGTCATCGACATACAGACAAAGAATAACTCCTTAGCCCCCACCATAGCGATAGTACACGCACTTGTCACCATCGTTTACTACAAAGCCGGCAGCAGTTAATGTTCTTTGGAACTTCTCATGCCACTCCTTAGGAGCTTGTTTAAGGCCATATAAAGACTTTAATAACTTGCACACCTTTCCTTCCTGACCAGGTACTACAAAACCATCTGGCTGATCCATGTAAATTTCCTCCTTCAACTCTCCATTGAGGAAAGCCGTCTTAACGTCCATTTGATGAACGAGAAGACCATGTGAGGCAGCCAGTGATAGTAGCACCCGAATTGTGGTCAGTCTAGCCACGGATGAGTAAGTATCAAAGAAGTCTTCACCTTCTTTCTGGGTATAACCCTAGGCCACAAGCCGTGCCTTGTACTTTTCAATCGTACCATCAGGTCTAAGCTTCTTCTTGAACACCCACTTACATCCTACAGGTTTGCACCCATAAGGACAGTCAGTGATCTCCCAGGTACCGTTAGCTAAGATGGAATCCATCTTGCTACGTACAGCTTCCTTCTAGTAGTCAGCATCAGGAGATGCATAGGCTTCTGAAATAGTCCTGGGTGTATCATCCACGAGGTACATAATGAAATCATCATCAAAAGACTTTGCAGTCCTCTGTCTCTTACTCCTCACAGGAGTTCCATTGTTACCCTCAACAGGATTCTCAACGTGTTCCATCGCAATGGTGGGTTCAGGAATTACAGTGAATTCCTCACTAGATGGAGTAGGTATCTCCTGATTTGATGAACTCGACATATCCTTCATAGGAAATATGTCCTCAAAGACAGTTGCATCATTTGATTCCATAATCGTACCAACATGCATGTTGGATACCTCAGATTTTATTATCAAAAATCTATAGCCGATGCTATGAAAAGCATAGCCCAGAAGAACACAATCCACGGTTTTTGGTCCAAGCTTGCGCTTCTTGGGAATTGGTATATTGACTTTCGCCAAACAACCCCAAGTACGTAGGTAAGAGAGTTTCAACCTTTTCCTTTCCCATTCCTCAAATGGAGTCATGGTCTTATGCTTTGTGGAAACTCGGTTTAGGACATGACACGCAGTCATTAGCGCCTCCCCCCACCATTCCTTGGATAGACCCGAAGTGTCTAACATGGTGTTAACCATATCAGTTAGAGTTTGGTTCTTTGTTTCGGCTACCCCATTTGACTGGGGTGAGTAGGAAGGCGTCCTCTCATGGATTATACCATGTTCCACACAAAACAAATCAAATTCATTGGAAAATACTCTCCACCACGATCGGACCTAAGTCGTTTAATTTTTCGATCAAGTTGGTTCTCTGCCTCAGCTTTATAGTTTTTAAAGAAAGTCAAAGCCTCATCTTTTGATTTCAGAAGATACACATAACAATATCTAGTGGAGTCATCAATCAACGTCATGAAGTATCTCTTTCCACCTTTTGTCAACATGCCATTCATCTCACAAAGATCAGAATGTATAAGCTCTAGTGGCGCCAAGTCTCTTGCCTCTGCAGTCTTATGTGACTTGCGAGGTTGCTTAGCTTGCACACATACTTGGCACTTGGACCCTTTGACAGTAGAGATTTTCGGAATTAAATTCATATTGGCTAACCGCGTCATGCAACCAAATTTAATATGACAGAGTCGTGAATGCAAAATATCAGACTCATTATTGTGGCAAACATTATTAATAACTTTAGTGCAAATATCTGACAAAGATAGGCGGAACAAGCCTCCGCACTGATAGCCTTTTCCAAAAAATTGTCCACACTTAGAAATTACAACTTTATTGGATTCGAAAACCAACTTAAAACCATCTCGACATAAACGGGAACCGCTAACGAGATTTTTATTGATGGACGGCACATGATGAACGTTCTTCAGACGCATAGTCTTCCCCCAAGTAAACTTCAGATCGACCGTACCAACACCTCGAACGATGGCATGTGACCCGCTCCCCATCAGCATGGGTGAAGTCCCTATTGCTTGGTAAGAAGAAAACATGGAGGCATCAGCACAAACATGTACATTGGCACCGGTGTCAATTAACCAATCAGGGGATTGAAATACTGAAAGGATGGTAGGAAAAATACCGTACCCTGATTCCTTCATATCAGTATCAATGATGACAACATTAGCGGACTTGCCGCTCTTCTCATGTTCGCGCTCCTCAAAGCGGTTAGGACACTTCGGAGCCCAGTGATTAGGATCACCGCAGACATGGCAAAGTCCCTTCCCCTTCTTATGAGAATTCTTCTTGAAGTTGGTAGAATGTGATGGCTTGTTCTTTGTATCAAACTTGCCTTTGCCCTGAGTTTTGTTCTTATTGTTTTTGAACTTGTTGGGCTGGGAGTTCGTCTTCTGTACCATGTGGGCACTAGAACCTCCTTCAGCAACTCGAGCACGCGTGTCCTTTGCTCTCGCCTTCTCTTCAACATCAAGAGTACCAATGAGATCCGCGACGGAAAACTCCTGTCTC